AAGCCAAAGGGGTTGGCAATAGTGTTGGTTTCTCTGCCCCTGCCCCCAAGACTGAAACCCCAGTATTTTACCAAGAATACCAGTGGTAGCCTCCCTAAATATTCCTTTAAGAAGGCCACAAGTATTTACCTCCTCCCCTTCTCCCCAGGCCTCCTGACACCTGGGTCTTCTCTCTCTCGCCTTCCTTATTTCCTGGAGGATGGTGGGGCCCAGAGCTAAACTTCTCTGTGTCCCAGTTCACTGGGTCTGCTTAGCTACCTCATTCTGCAGACCAGACCACTGAGTACCATTTAGATAACTCTATCATTTTTTTTCAGATTCAGGTCCTTGCATCTGACATTCCTGTCATCTCTATGCACAGTTCTAAGTCAAACTGCCACCCAATAACCCAATCAGATTCCCTGGGTCCCCATGCCTTCCAGAAACTTGTCTAAGTTTGCTCTGCCTTATTCCAATTTAATTTCACTGGCTAATATTTATTAACATTAAGCTTATTCTATGTGCTAGCCACTAGTCATTCCTTTAGCCTCCAAACAACACCAGGAGGGTGGTCATGTCAATATTCCTACTTTACAGATGAAGAAACTGAAGTTGAAACTGATTAATTGACTTAGTCAATCTAGAAAGTTCCAGAACTGAGATTAGAACACATGTTAGTCTAATCCAAAAACCAGAGTTTTAACTACTTCACCAAACTGCCCTCCAAAGACTGTCCCATCTTCCCTCTCATTGGCTTATACCTCTGACCCCACCCTAAGGCAGACCCTACACAGCTCATGCAGGAAATGTGGATGGCTGTCCTGATTAGTCTTCTCACCGCTGGCCCTCTAGGCCGTGTCCTGTTGGAGATGTGCAGTGTGGTGGGGAAGAGCTGGGCCCTGGCACCAGACAGACCTGACTGAATCCGAGCATCTTCATTCATCTGCTGCTGTGATCTTGGGTTAACTCACTTAATGTCTCTGAGTCTGTTTCCACATGTGAAAAATGGAAATTATGGCCGTATCAGTGTCAATATAGTGTTTTCTTTTTTTTTTTTTTGAGTGTTTCATGCGGTGTCATTGGTCAAGTCTTTGGCACAGTGCCCAGCACATAACAATAGCTCCATATGTAACTGTTGTCATATCCTTCTTCTCAGAAGGAAAATTCCATCGTGTTCCCCCTTTTCCTGATGCTATTTACCACAGTTGGCACTCAGCATCCTCCACAACCTAGCCCTGACTTTCTTTCTTATTTTATTTCTTTGTCTTCTAACTCTCCAGTCTCCTGTAGTTCCTGACCTCTTAGTGGGATGTTGGGGGGAAAGGCGTGTCCTCTGGGGTCAGGCAGACCTGGCTTTGAACCCCAGCTATGCCCCCTCACTAGCTCTGTGAGCTTGAGTTGCTTCCTTAATATCTCTGGGCTTCAGTGTCCTCATCTATAAGATGAGAATGAGGTTGTACTGAGGGTGATACCTAAGAAACCATTATACCTAACACTTAATATGTTTAATCCTATATCGATCTGTTAATGGAATCCTGCTCCTCCTGCCCTGCCAGTTTTCCCATGGGAGCTTCCTTCCAACGGGAAAGCTTCCTTGCTCCTCCACCTTCTTCTGGATTCCTCTTGTGAATTCCCATAGAGCTTTCTGTCTGTTCCATACAGAGACCTTTGTACAGCCCTTGAACATTTCCATAGTTCTTTCCAAAACCAGCCCAACTAATTTGGACAACTCTGAGACATAGTCCAGCTTAGTAATTATTATCTCTAGTTTTAAAAGACAAGCTGAGGCTCTGAGAGATTCAATGACTGATTCATGGTCACTAATGGAGGCCTGGAGCCCACGCCTTCTGGCTCTCGGTCACCATGCTTTTCTCCCATGTCATTCTGCACCTGAGTGACTGCCCCTCTCCTGAAATCAGTGCCCTTTCTAATGTTGCAGATTGTTTTTCTGTGGGTGCCTAGCTTGTCCCAGCAGGGAGGGTGCAGTCTGGTTCCTCGCCCTGGCCTACTGCCCTGAAGATATCTGTTACGCGGTTGGTGTTATTCAGTGTGTTGAAATGTGAATTCGTGTGGTATGTGGCGATGCCATTGTAGGACACTCACAACTGTATTGACTAGAATGTTAAACTGGTACAATAACATTTCATTCAAGAGTAAGAAACCACAAGGTAAGCATTCCACTCTTGACGCACCTGCTTCTCTGCACACGTTGTCTTTAGACTAAATCCTTGGATTTGCGAGATTTAGAATTAGCTGTTCCGTCCCCTGTGCTCTGTGTTCTTGTTTCTGTAATAGCCCTGACCAGCTCGATGATAAGCAATCTGCTTATCCATCTGTTTCCCATCCTGAGGCTGTGAGTCCCTCCAGAGCAAGCCCCACATCTCATTCCTGTCGGCGTCCAGGGCCAGCCACTGCCCTTGGCACATAGTTAACGGAAGGTGAATGAATAAACCAGAAAGACTCATCTATGCCCATCTCCTAATCCCCCTGATTGTGTTTGTTTCTATTCTCTTATCTTATTCTATATTCTATATTCCTTATCTCCAATACTGAATTAAAAGCAGGTTTCATGGTTTACTGATTTTTATAGTCTACCGAACCACCAGGAAAGGAGGAAACTATAATTATTGATTGTCTACTGTGTGCCAGTTGTGATTGCACATCTATTGTCTCATTTTTTTCAAAAATTTAATTTAATTCTTATAACAGGTTGATCAGGGAGGCATTATCACCTTTGACTTCCAAAGGAGGGAGCTGAGACTCCGGGACATAAAATAATTGGAGTTTGACCAAGTTTTCACAGCTAGTGAGTGGCAATGCTAGGATTTGAATCCTTGTCTGCTGGTTGTAAGACCAATGTCTTTTGCTGTTGTTGTTGCTGTTTGGTGTTTGTTTTTTTTGAACAGTATGTAGGATAACTGAGTGTATTAGCCCAGTAGATGTCAGGAACTCTGCTAACCTCTGAGACTTCACTTTAATCATATTGAATCCAGTCTGTGCAAGCCTGCTCCCAAATGCTTTGAGCACATATACTGCTACCTTCCCATTTGATTGTCTGAATGAAATGCTTCAGGAAACATGTACTAATGCATCAGGCACAGTGCTAGGCGCTGTGGATAGGCTCTGTCAGGGAGCTTACAGTTTAATTGGAAAATAAACAGGAAACAGTGATTACAAAAGTGATCTGTGCTGTGAGGAGACAGAAGACAAGGTCTTTCGTTGGCCTAGGGTGGTCTTAGGAGGCTTCTGGGTAAATCATGAAGGAGGAATGAGTTGGCCAAGCCGAGAGGAGGGAACAGCATGTGCTAAGCCACCGAGGTACAAAACTGCAGGTAGGGTGTGTCTGGAACAAGGGGACATTTCAGTGGAACAGAGCAGGGCGATCAAAAGGTGCTGAAACTGCTCCCCCTGAGTTCACATCATGCACCAAAGGTCAGGACCAGCTCCCAGCTCTTGTCCCTACACAAACAGTGCTCTTGGCTTAGAGGACAGCTAAAACATTCTCCCCACTCAGGAAGTGAGTTAGAGAAATAGCTGGCAGCATCATCCATGTTCTCCAGGGACAAGACAGATAAACACGAGGTTGCATTTCCCTGATGTATGGGAAATAATGAGCAAGCACTTGGGTAGACCCACATGGTGATGTCACCTGCTTGGGGTGCCCAAGGCTGCCCTCAGCAGGCTGGGAGGCTGGCTTTGTGCCCATGCTCTTGATGTGTCCCTGGAGCAGAGGGCCCTGGGGTAGCAGGCAGCAGATGTAAACAGGATCAGGCCCCATTTAGAATCATTTTCTTAAGTGGCGTGTTAGAGTCGAGAGTTCTGCCCACTCTGGGCCCTGGGGTGGTAAGCTGCAAAAGGTTAGATGGGTTCACACAGTTCAAGGTGCCCTCTTCACTATTCCAAAAAAATGTTCTTTAACTTGAGACTTTATAACAACAGCGAAAGAATGGCAGAGAACTGAGCCAACTTTATGATGAACTGTACGTAACTTAGTAAGAAATGTATATGTATCTGTGTGCATCACATGTGAAAACAAACCCAGTGTCGCACTGGCATTGACTCCATCCCTCTTCTTCCTCTCCCAGGGATTTTGAGAAATCTTCAAGTTCAGATCTCATTCTATTCTCCTCTTCTGTCATTCATCATTTCCCACCTGCATCCCACTACAGCCATCATCTCATGTGATCCCCACCAAACCACTGTGTCACTTCCTCATATCCAACCTGCCTTCTCATGCTTTAACGTGGCTAGCCTGCCTGCCCCTCCTCCTGGAAGGTACATAAAAGGCAGCTAAGGACACCAGTGCTTATTCCTCAGAATTGCTAAGCCTGTTTCACACTCAGTTCCTTTACCTTTTGCTCCTTGCTGACCTCCCCATCTCTACACTCCAATTTTGCTCCCTCTAATGCATGCTTTACACTGCTGCCCAGATGATGTATCTGAAATTCAATTGCAATAATGTCATCCCCCCTACTCAGAACCCTTCAGTGGTTTCTGACTCTTTCAAGTGACATCCAAACTCCTGAAGTATTTAGAACAAGGCCATCCATGAGCAGGCTCCTTCCTACCTCCCTGCCATCATTTCTTACCTCTCCCCTTGACAGTTTGTGATATAGCGATGCTAAATTACTTATGGCTCCTCAAACACACAATGTTATTTAATGTTTCTGAGTCTGCCAGAAATAGCCTTTTCTCTCTAGTCTGTCTTACGAATCTGATCAGCCTTTAAAATTCTCGCAGCTGTCCTTGTCTCTGAAACCCTCCCCAGACAGAAGTCACCGTTCTGGGTGGCCTCTGTGTCTTGTTCAGGCACCTACCATTGCCCTATCTGCATATTCCCAAAACTTGCTTGCTTACAGGGGCTGTCTTATTCATCACTGAATAGCACAGGGACTAACACAGGGCAGGTGCTTAGCCAGCAAGTCGAATCATTGTCCAATTACACCTCCTCCCCATCATTTAAGGGACTTGAGTTTTAGCCATGACCACACTGATACCTGCATCCCAATTGGTTTTCCCAGGTCGGGCCAATCACTGGTCTGCGATCATTGGCGGATCCCACTCCAAGAATTACGTGCTCTGGGAATACGGAGGATATGCAAGTGAAGGAGTCAAACAAGTTGCAGAATTGGGCTCACCAGTAAAAATGGAGGAAGAAATTCGACAACAGGTAAGAAAAGCAATCACAGAATGACTCAAAACCAGAAATGCAATCAAAGCAACCTTTAGATTTCTTTCACAGAGCGTGAAATTTATAGTACAGTGTGCTCGAAGATCGGTACCAAAGAAAGCAAAATCTGTTTGCTGAGTCTGGAAAGGTTTATGTTAAGGACACAGGCACCAAAGTCCATCTTATTGTCTTAGTTCTTCCCTGACTGCATTTGTGTTTCCTTCAATGTGTGCTAAAAGCTGCTGCTGTGGCCACATTGCTATGTCTCTCGTCTCCTGAGAGTCAGCGTGGTGGATTCTGGTTTGCTTACTATGATCCTTGAGAGGGTGAGGGAGCGATATCCAAATTGTCTAAGCCAAAATCGCGATTTCTAAAAATAAACGTTTATGTACCAGCATGTGCTCTTGCAAATATGTCTTGAGGTGTTTGATAAATTAGTCATTAGAGACTGAAGCATCTTCTTTGTACCATGTGCCATGTCATGTGGGCCCAGGAGCTGTACTATTATCTAGGTCCCTACTCGTACCACTGAGGGATAAAGAAGTAACCTGTCATTCCTTTTTATTTCTTTGCCTGATATGCCACATCCCTCATCAAAGGCTCTAGAAAGAGGCTGATGAGGAATCTTGGAGGAAGAGCTGCGGTTTGTTTATGGCTGTGCACAGCCTGCACTGAGAAGAGGAGATGGTCCAGTTTTGGCCATCACTACCCACAAAAGCCCTTTGGGCCAAAGAGAGCTCGATGGGCAGCTGCCCACAAGCACTCAGGAGAGAGCAAAGAAAGGACAAACTGTGCTTGGGATGTGGCCATTTCACAACACAGGTTACTCTGAGGTTGTCCCATTCTCCTGAGATGATACAGGAGGCTCCAGAGACACCGAGCCATGTCTCACAATGTGCATGTGCCCTGAGGCCCAAGCTGTATAGGAGGGTGAGTACAGCTGCAGCACTGCCCCTTGAGGTCTAACATCTGAACTCCTAGCCCCTAACTGAATGCAATAAAGGTCACCCAGACTCCTACTATAATCCCCTGAGGAATCCTTTTGGACCAAAGTCTAAAAATGTCCAGGAATTAGTTTATTTTTCTTATGATTTTGATTTAAAGTCTTTCCTCCATTCTTGGGAAAAGAAATGCTTGACCAGATGTTTTAAGATTGCATGTTATTCATCACAAGTCTATCTGACCAACTACTTAGTGTTTCTCTGACTCTGCCTGTCATGCCTTATAACTGGCATCACTCCTTCAGGCTACAGCGCAGCCACGTACATCTGCAGAGTCATGGAGGGTTCCATAATCGTCGCAGCCTGTTCGACCTGTCATGGGGGGTGGGGGTGGGGGGGGAATCCCTTGTTCAGGATCCTGAGGGTCCATGTTTCTGCTTCTCGAACTTGGAATTGTGATGTGCTGGCTTATCAGGTTCTGTTGTGTGGTATGGCAAAAACCATTTGTTACAAATAATGGTTGAAATATTAAAGCTTGCAAATAAATTAGATCAAGGGCAAGGGCATCTTCATTATAATGCCAGTCTCACTCTTTGGCTACCTTGAGAGGTTTCTGGAGGGAAGGGAAGCTTATATGAATTGTGAGACCACGTTGTGCTGGTACATATTTTGTGTCATGTGTCATGGCAGTAAAAAAGGCTGATAACTGATGGATGGGACCCCCAGCCTTAGAATGTCCTCATTAGGAAAACATTCTTTGCTTGGTATGTTCTTAACCAGCACACCTAGGATTAGCTTCTGTACCACACAAGCAATGTCTGCCTACCCCAGGCTAGTGTTCCTGATATTATGTCATAATAATAAGTTTAATTATAGGTACTGCACATAGAAGATAAAAATCCCCCTGAGCATTTCTCAGTGTCTGTCTCTGCATTTCAGGCCCCCTGGGTATACTGGACATGTAATTTTTGCTCTCACATCTAGTTTGAGAAGAAAATATATTATCAGTTTTACAGATAAAGATACTGAAGCAGTCAATAGCAAAAGAATACCAGAACTTGAACTCAAGTCCATCTGGCTCCAAACCCTATACACAGATAGTACCAGATATAAAATTTGCAGGGCCTTTTGCAAATGTGAGGTGGCTTGTTCAAAGCTTGTTAAGAATTTCAAGATGGCGGCACTGTGAATTTCACAGCACGAGACCCTGAGAGTCTGCAAGTCGCATACCCATGAAGCCAGCCCTGTTCATCCACCTTTCCTGCCCTACACAACTGCCCACTGAGAAACTCTCTAACCAGCCTCTGGAGTAGGCTGTTCCCAGAGCTCCACTAACAACATATTGAGCTCCCTGGCTCCTTGAAAAGTCAATTGGATAGAGTAATGATTTCAGGGTCTCTCCACTTCCCAATAATGCATGGTTCTAAATATTGTTCCTGCAAGCACCCAATTTATTATATTTTTATGTAAGCCAGGTGAGAAACAACATAAAAAGGAGCAAGAATGTGAATCCTCCTAGAATATAAAAGTGTCCTCTGAATAACCAGGGAACTTGTTTGAACACATCTACAAGCTAACACAGTGTTCTCAGCCTTTAATACCTTATATCCTACCAATCATTTTATCAAAGAACCCGAGTCCAACCAGGATAAAAATAAAAAGCCCTCTTTTCCCAAGAAAGACATTTATATGCTTACCAGCATTCTCTTATTATAGACTTACCGCTCACTGCAAGTTTCAAGGGCATTAAAAAAATCACAGTAGATATTGTTAGAGGTAAATCTTATGCTAATGGTTTTCAAACAAATGAACAAAATAATAATCCCATTAGTAGTGGAAAATTGTAATAATATCATTGAGTATAAAGTTTCATGTTACTGTAAGTGCAAAACACCAAGAAAATGAATGAAAATTTACAGCAGCATTACTGGCAATCATGACACTGGTGGCTGGAGAGTGTGGGGGAAGGGCACAATGCACATATCTTAAAAGGGAGACAGAGGCAACTGTGCCCCATGGGGACCTTGGATTAGCCTGGCAGGTCACACATGGGGCATGCAAGGCCGGTAGATGCAGCAGGAAATGGCAGGCCACACTTACAGGTAGACCCAGAACCGAAAGTGAACTGCTGAGTACTCATTGTTACAAAATTAAACATGCTTAATTGCCTCTTTCAGATTATTCTATTATCTCAGCGTCTTAGGGACTAATGTTCTTTTGAATTGAACTTGCTTCCTCTCTCCATCACTGGTTTTCTCCTTTGGTTTTTGGATTGTTTGCTCATCTCTAGCGGTGTTTTTCTGTTTTTCCAGCACGAGTCCTCTGTGCTCAAGTGGTGGTGTCTCTTCAGGGTGACATTATATCTTCGTCTTGTCCACCTGAGTTTTTATGTCATTTCTCAGCTTGGGGTTTTCCCCACGGCATGGCCAGCGAAATATGGACTCTGCACTTACACATGAAAGAAGCTAGGGCTTTTTTGAAGGGGTATTTTCACTCAGGGGTCTGGACAGAGGGCAAGCCTTTTTGCCACTTTCCTGGGTAAATGATGGGGGATTTTCTCATGCCCTGTTCATAAACAGGGCAGGCCTTCAAATGTGCAGCTTATACAGGGGTGTCTTCCCATTTCTCACCTCACACCAGCTTGAGATCTCCCCTCCTCTCCCAGCATGGCCCCTCCACCTCTAGCCCTTGAGGTCCATGTCCTGGTCCACGGTCTAGACAGGTTATCAGGCACCAGCTCCTGCTCACTGTTCTGGGTTAGACTTTCCTCCCCATTTCTGACATCTAGAAATTTTCCAAACTCAGTTACATATTTTTAAAAATTTGTCTTGTTATATTTTGACTAGCATTTCTACGTGTTTATAACAGGAGGGAGAACCTTTTGCATCCTCTGTCTTTCATATTTCCAGTGTCCACCTAATACCTCCAGCACCTAGTACAATGTCTCACACATAGTAGGTGCTCAGCAAATATCTGAATTAATTGACAAGCGAGCCATGAATGGCATTTGCATGAAACCATGAGCTGTGAATGGCCACTCACTCATGAAAAAGTGCACTAGAAAAACACTCCAGCTTTTAGATTTCTCTGGCTGCGAGGCTTCCCTGCTGGTGAGAGGTCAAGTAATGGTGGATCCTAATATAGGCATTGATTGTTTCATCTTCAGGAGGCCTTGCTTTGGCAGATCACTTAAGCCAACCAGTAGGATGATCGCACCGCCTGCGGCGCAGGAATCAATAAAAAAGCAGGTGTTCTTTTTCCTTAAAGTCGAAACAATATATAAAGCTCTGGGAACTGGCAGAAACGGTATGAGATTTTTCTTTTCTCGTCTCCTTTAAACCATCTACTAAACTTTTATTTTTCCCGGTCTTTGATTTAGTAAACTTTTGATCACTTTCCTCTAATTCAAACCATTTGCCTTATTACTGATGTTTTCCATGGACTGTGACATGCTGCCTCATCTGGTTGAGAAAGTCACACACACCAGCTTTTATTTATTATAAAAATAAAGCTCCAATGATCTTCAGTGCTTGTGAGAAGTGATACTGTATAACAGCCTATTGTAAAAGCATTGGCTCTGAATCAGGGTTTTGTGGGTTCAATCCTGGCTCCGTCGCTTACTGTGTGACTTTTGGCAAGTTACTTAACCCCTCTGTGCCTTCGTTTCCTCTTCTGTGAGATGAGATGGTAATAATGTCATCTTCACAGAGTTACTGTGAGAACTAAGTGAGCAGATACCTGTAAAGTGCTGGGAGCAGAGCCTGCCCTGTAGAAAGTATTCACTAAATGTTACCTATCATTACCACATTTTCATTCTTGGGTCTCCATTTCCTCATCAATAAAGTAATGGGTTTGTCCCAAGACTGAAGAGTCCCTGCAGGAGCTAGAAAAGTTAAAGATTCTAAAGGTTCAAGTTCATCATGCATCATTCCTCAGCCTGAGAGCGTGTACCCACAAGATGAGGACACAACTCCTTTGTCATTTCCCCAGGCTCTGCCTCTGCCTGCCCCTCCTGCTCCATACAAAGTCATCCCCCCATATATCCTAATCCTCTGTCCC